TGAGGTACCACTGTATTTCTAGTGAATTCAGTTGTATAATTGTTTTGCAAGAAATATTTATGTTGAATGGCATTCAACTGTATAATTTCTAAATACATAGAGGGGACAAAATACACCTAAGTCTGTTTTACACGGTAGATTGGTTCCAGAAGAAGCCGTGTAAAAAAAAAAACGTGTAAAAAAAGACATGATCTTATACAAAATGGGTGATTTGTTCCTAATCTCTAAAACCTATTAAAATTAGTGAAAAACAAGAATTTTTAAGAACAAGAATTCATGTTTATTTTATTAAATCAAATATATAATGCTTATTTTCACAAGCATAGTAATTAATGATAAAAAAGATATGCACTCTAATCTTAAAAGTAATGTAAATTAAATGTATGGCAAGTTCAGGAACTAAAAAACTATGTTGTGAACGAAAAGAATAGGAACATACTTCGCAAAAATTAAATTTGGCAAAAAAAAATTTAAGTGCATAAAATTTCAAATCGTGCTAAATGGAATAAATTCGTGTAAAAAAATTAAAAATATTCAATTTTCAAACCGTGTTATATCAAAACCGTGTACAAAAAGACCGTGTAAAAACAGACTTAGGTGTAGATTTAAGATACGACTCGACAATCGAGTAACTTTGAAAGCGATAGGTCATCACAGCTTTTAACGTTTGGATTATTTAATTAATAATAAAATTAATATTTTAAATGCTTGATTTTATCACAGAATACAGCTTTATGGAATGGTGCCATAGAAGCAGCATTGACACTTCTAGGCGCCGGAGCGGCTCTTTCAGCCGGATATCTAACATCCTACAGAGGTGGATTATTAACTCTAACAATTTGTTCATTTTTGGAAGGTGGGGCTATTCTAACAGCAGCTCAGACAAACTCTTTATGGCTTTCTTATTTAGGATACATTGCTTTTGGGGTACTTTACATGTTCATGATCACCATTGCAAGGTGAGAAAATTTAAACTTGAATATCTTATTAGAATTATATATCTATATAGGGTGGAAGATAATCTTGAATAGTTTTGTTTCAACATTTAAACTCTTATATTTCCTTGCTCGATTAGTGGAAATAGAAGTATCATTATGCAAAACTTGAATAAATGCCTTACATTGGATGCACTTATTGTATCCTTTAAACTTGTATTATATAATAAGAATTTTTATCGAAATTAAATGAAGAAACTTGATTACAAAGGTGGTGAGAAAATTTTCTGGCCTTTCCAAGTGCCAGTATGTTTATTTTTGGAGTGGCGTCGTACAGTACTATTGGCAACTAGTTTATGAAGTGTATTAGAAGTTAAAGACTTATACAACTAAATTAGGACACCGTTATAAGAAATGTATAAGTTAATTGTAAGGAACCACAGAACAAAGAAAGGGCTTGGCCGATCGTAGCCCAAAGCTGACAAACGCTAATTCTTATCGAGTTATATCGAATGGCTTTTAAATGTTTGAAATCGGTCCGGTCGTTTTTGAGAAAACGTTGATCAAAAGTCTAATTCGGCAAGCTTATACAAACACGCATACTTTTTGGAAAATCGGTTTCATTGGATCAGAATCACTTGAAACGTCGAGAAAACATAAAATCATAATTTTATAATATATATTGCTATAGCAAATCTAATTTTGTCGCAAAAACATAAATCATCCCTTTGGGAAGTTAAAATCATTGGAAATTTACACTCCGCCCCGTATTCTTGCATTATTATATATTTTATGTATATACTCTTATAAATTTATAAAATTTACTCCAAACTGAATTTTCATATTACAGTGCCGAAATTGCAAAGTACTTGGATGAGGACAGCTTTGGCCTAATTTTTGGTATCAACACAACATATGCTCTTGTATTTCAAACGATTTTAACTGTAGTTGTTATTTCAAAAGATGGGTTTGAGTTGCAAACGAGAGATCAATTTATTGTTTATGGTTATTACTTTATAGCTCTAGGTGTTATATATTTGGTTGCTAGCATTGTAATATGTATCATGAAACCAAGAAAAAATACTATCAGTTGATAATTCATAATGATAGACTAATATCCATTAGACGAATGTATTTTATTTGGTTGTGTTTCAGAAATATTTTAGATCTTACATTTACCCATAAAATGGGTTTTAAGAAAGAATCTTTATTTATTTTTAAAATATGATAGTAATAACATTTATTTTTATATATATTTAAAATGCATTTAGATATTTGACAAATCAATCATTTTTATAAATAACTTCTGTAGAGGTATTTTATTTTAATTATTGGTTGTGTTTCAGAAATACTTTAGATCTTATATTCACCCATAAAATGGGTTCTACAAATGAATCTTTAATTATTCTAATAATAACTTTAGATAATAGATTGTAATAACATATATAATATGTTTATATGTGTATAGAAAGCATTTAGATATTTGAACATAAAATTGACCATCCGAGTTTAAAAGTCACATCGACATTTAAATAAATATTTTAGTATCAAATACTGAGAGATGAGTGTGGTAATTAGCTAAATAAATGTTCATAATAGCAGTATTAAATTTAGTGTAAGAAGAACCTTTGGGTTATATTTATTGTCTAATATATTTCATTAATTGATAAGAATAATGAATGTTATCATGTATCAAAGTATGTTTTGTTATAGAATAAACTATTTTTATACCTTTGGCTGAATGTTTAAATCATTTTTGAGCAAAAAATGTTTAAATCCGTAATTATTAATGGTTCTCGAACTAATAATAATAACTAGCTGTAAGTGGAATTCTGTCTTAAGGCAATTAAGGCATCGTGCCTTAAGGCAAATTGCTGAAACTTCCCGTACCAAAAATTATTTTTTTTTAAAAACGATTAACATTTTTGAAAAAAATTTACTTCGAAAAAATAAGATGGACAAATTGGACAAAAAATTACTTTTTTTTGAAAAAAATTTTTTAAAAAAAAAAAAAAATTTAATTTTCTTTTTTTTTGAAAAAAAAATGTTTTCTTTATTTTGACATATTTTGGAAGATCTGACCTTTTTTCAAAGCAATCGTACTGCTTTAACTGCATAAAGACGAAATATCAAAGCGCGTAAGCGCCGCGTCGCCGTCTAACGCGTAAACATTGGTACGGAACCCATAGGAATGTAAACAAAATTCATACTTATTGTTAAAATCTCTATAAAATATCTGATAATTTGATGTGCATATGTCTAATGATCATTTTTGACCGCCAAATGGCATTTTTTTTTACTTTTTTCATTAGATCTCCGAAACCGCTAGACCTGCCTTTATGAAAATTTGGTCAATTCTTCATCTTGTCAATACAAGTAAAACGTTTTTTGACTTATTCAAATTGGACACTCCGTTCTCTTAAAAACTGAGTTACCGTTTTCGGCACTTTTTGCCCCGTATCTTTGGAACGGCTAGACCTGTCTTTGCCAAAAACTAATCAGCACGTCTCCTTATCAATACGAATCGAATGTTTTTTGAATTATTCAAATCGGTTGATCCGTGTTCCCGAAATCGTCGACGAAAATTTGTATCCGCACATACATACACACACGCACATACATACATACATACACACACACACACACACACACACACACATACATCCATTTTTTCTAAGGTATGCCAAAATGTTCAGAAACCTCTGAAACGCAAAGATATATAAAAATTTTCATTTTCGATTTTTTTGCGATTACTATAACTATCCCTACGGGAAGTTAAAAAGGAAACATACTTGGTTGTTATGATATAATATATGCATCGTCAATAATTCAAAATACTCATTTTCGAGTAGAAAAATATTTCCAAACATATTTCTATAAATGTGTTGTATGTTTGCACTAATACATTATAACAGACAAAGGTATTACAAATTTATGAGCATTTTTCACCATTTATGATATTTTGATTTAAAACAAAACATTTATGACATTTTATAGTATAATTAAGATTTATATTTTTGACATTTTATTTTTATAAAATATTTTATAGTATGATTTGCATTTTGAAGCCTCTATTACTTTTTTTATTTGTGAATTATGTTGGAGGTGTACTATCAGAAAAAGATAATAGATGCGTCACGACAGAACTTAAAAATCATATAAATAATTTAAAATATGAGCAGAATGGTATGATTGAATTTAGCATATATATTAAGATAGAGAAACCGTACACATATATAAATTAAGTTCAATTATTTTTATTTATTAATGTTGTATCATAAATGTTTCTAAGTTTTTAACTGATATTTTTACCAAGAAAATTTTGCATACAAACTTTTTTCAACCCACATCTTATTTTTATTGTGCTTTATTATAGTCTTAATTCAGATATGTAAATTTATTAATATAATAGGAAGAAAAGAAAACAATTACCTTCCAATGTTAGAACTAAATGATGCAGAAGAAGGTCCTCAAGACAAATTAGATCGAATTACGGCAAAAATCTGGAGATCACCTGCTTGTTTGGAAATTCAACAAGCTTGGGTACATCCATTCTGTTTAAGACATTCTACCATTGAATCGGAATTTCAAAAGGTTTGTGTTGACCACTTATCATATTCACTCAAATATCTTATATATTGGTGCCTGGATGATCATGCATTTTGAACTAGAATAGAAATTATAATCAAGAATAATATATTTATATTTTTTGCAATGCAAACACTTTTGTTTAAACATGTTGATTGCTTGTAAGTATATATATATATATATATATATATATATATATATATATATAGTCATCATATATTGTATAAACATAAACGGTTCAGGACGGTCCTGAACGGTTCAGGAAACACATATCGTGTACCAACCGGTCGGCACGCGGTCTTCAATGTATTAAATAAAACTTTGAATAAATATAAAAGTTTCGTATGGAACCACCCCTTTTCAGTTAGATAGGGCGAAACAACATAAAATTTACTACATTTCCTTGAGAACACTTTCATACATACCGATTTAAAAAAAATTTGAATAAAACGACTTTGAATTCGATATTTCATTCTTTAGCAATAAATAGAAAATTCGGGACCTTTTTTTAGTTTTTGTGAAATAACTCAAAAATTTTATATGGAACCATCTTTTTTCAGTTAGATAGGGTGCAACTAGATAAAATTTACTACATTTCCTCTGGAACACTTTTATACACTCCGATATAAAAGTTTTGAATAAAACGTTTTTGAATTCGATATTTCATTCTTTAGCAATAAATAGAAAATTCGGGACATTTTCGGAACAAATAACTCAAAAATTTCATATGGAACCAACCCTTTTACAGTTAGATAGGGTGCAACTAGATAAAATTTGCTTTATTTCCTTGGGAACACTTTTATATACTCCGATATAAAAGTTTTGAATAAAACGACTTTGAAATAACTCAAAAATTTCATATGGAACCAACCCTTTTCAGTTAGATAGGGTGAAACTAGATAAAATTTACTACATTTCCTTGGGAACACTTTTATAGATACCGATATAAAAGTTCTGAATAAAACGACTTTGAATTCGATATTTCATTCTTTAGCAATAAATAGAAAATTTGGGACATTTTTTTGTTTTTTTGCCAAATAACTCAAAAATTTCTTATGGAACCATCTTTTTCAGTTAAGTAGGGTGCAACTAGATAAAATTTACTGCATTTCCTTGGGAATACTTTTATACATACCGATATAAAATAAAATAAAATAAAATAAATAAATAATAAAAGTTTATTTGATAACACATTAATTATTTATTGTAGCTTCTATTTAATCGGTAAAGTGATCCTTTGATAGATTCGTTTCAGACCTGGGAGTCGTGTCAGATCCTGGGCATAGATTGGGCATGCGTGTACACAAATCTAGGAACGCAAGGTGGAGGATTCTCCATGTCAGCACTCGCTTCCTTAATGGGCAGAGTTTCGGATGATAATCTGCGACGTTCTCTATTATCTGGTCTCAACAAGTGCGAAAAGTACTGGCGCGTTTACCGGTTCGAAGAAGCGAGGCGTATTTTAGCTCATGAAATACAACGCGAAGTGAGTATGTTCATTAATTTTTATAATATTCATATATATAATAATTAACTAGATGTAAGTGGTACTTTGCTTTGACAAGTTGCAAAAATTTATCGATATGTGCAAGTAATCGACATAAGAGCTCTTATCTAGATTTAACTATATTTAGTTTTTTTCATAAATTCGCACTGATAATAATATTTTCCATTTTACTACGAATTATATTAATAATCAATGCAATTTTCAATTATTGTGTGCTTCAAAAGACTCAAGTATTATTGTATTCTTCATTTACTGATATTATTATTTTTATAATGCCGGTAATTGAAGCATGTCCTAAAAGCGAGGCTTTCATTATTTTTCCAATGCAATCAATTTTTACAGTACAACTTTTGGTAGGACTATAATATTATGTTTAATGAACTTTGCCCAATGTACAAGATATTATGCTCAAGAAAACAATTTAAAAAAAACTTTATTGCTAAAATAAAAACGCCCAAAATCTTTTTAAATATTTAATTATAAACAAGAGCGGCTCGACCGATCTTAACCAAAGATTAGATGATCCCAACTGATATTTAAAATATCTCAAAATTTTCAAAATCTATTCAGGAGTTTTTGCAAAAACATGGACAAAAAATGCACTTTTATAGTTCAGTCATTATAGTAAGTTCACCTCGCAATTCGAGGTACCCAGCTGTACGTCTGTTGTCTCCCACCCTAAAAGTTGTCTCAAAACCTACATATTGTAGGGTGTACGTACCATATGTAGGTTTTGAGACAACTTTTATGGTGTCAATGATTATTATAAGTATTTTGTGAGAATTATATCATTCAAGGTAGAGCATAAAACCTACAATGGTGCACCAAGTTTTATTATCGGACGAAGACTGAGAGCTATTAATTATGATAGACTGCGCGCCATTCGTTTGAAAAAATTTAAAGCTACAGAAGTTTGTATGAATCCAAATTCTAATAGCCTTTTTCATAGACAAATAACTTTTAATTGCAAAATTTAAATTAGAAAAAGAAAAGGAAGATAGAAACAGAATAAATAAAATATATAATCGCATAGCAGTATTGCAAAGCAAAAATAATCTCAATGAAATAGAGAAAGAAGAGCTCCTAAGGTTATTGCAGCCTGATATAACAAGTACCCAAAATATAGGTATATTTTCATTTACTTTCAATTTTAATTTCTGTGGACACTGACCGATTTTCCCAATGGCCATTTAAAATAGTTTCAAATGTTTCCATACTATGATTTGTCTCATTGTCAGATTAAATATAAATAAGTTATTATTTTAATCAAATGTGTAGCTACTGATTGTAATTTGTATTAAATATATACAAAAATTGTATATATATATTTATATATCATTCATTTTTAGACATTAAATGCAATTAAAAAAGCCAAACTTAACGCCTAAATATTAGTATTATTCATTAATTTTGCAATCATAACGATAATTGATAATTTCAGATACCGATATTAAATTAGATCTTAAAATAAAGCTCAAAATAACTATCCAAACATTATCATTATAATTCATTAATAAAATATTTGCTATATTTAAGCATAATAGGAGCACACGTTGAAAGAGAGGAAAAAATAGAAACTGCATACAAAAATGAATTAGGTCAATGCATCGCCCAAGAAGTAGTTTTAGCCTGCGAGCCTAAAGTAATGGCTACAATATCCAAGTTATTAACAGCTTTAAGGGGTTAGAAAAAAACGTCATGGATGAAACATGTTTGCTAATAATGATTGAAGTAATTAGTATTTTTGTGTAGAAAAACAAACAAAATAAACTATAATGATATATTCTGATATATTAAGTTTTTATAATGAAATATTTTACTATAATTTTCGTATTATACTTCAATACATATTACATTTTATCATTATCATATATTCAAACATGATGCGAGAATTCTATGTAATAACAGTTGGAGAACAACGACCAGTATATTCTCGTAATCGAGATATGTTTAAAGCTAATTCAAGGAGAGGCTGCAGCGTGGACTGAACATCTTTATCAATATCAGTTTTCTCATAAGAATCTAAATATAACCTGACGGTAGTGCCAGAACTTCCAGTTCCACTTAATCTAATTATAAATCTTGAACCATCATCAAATATAAATCTTAGACCTTGTTTAGAAACAAAACTATCATCAATCGGATCTTTATAAGAATATTCATCAGCAGTTTTAACTTGATATTGTTTCTGTAAACTATCAAATTTTTTTCCTATTATACTAGGATCAGAAATTACATCAAACAAGTATTTCATCATTTCATCACAGCTCTCAGTTGAACATTCTTCATAGTCATATCGCAAAAAATAATTCCTGCCATATAACTTCCAGTGGTCTGATAAAATATCTTTAATTTCTTTATTTGTGTGTTTCATGATTGATAACCAAGCTAATAAGGCCCAAACACCATCTTTTTCTCTTATATGATCAGAACCAGTACCAAAACTTTCCTCTCCACAAAGTGACAATTTTCCAGCATCCATTAAATTTCCAAAATATTTCCAACCTGTAGGAACTTCATATATATCAATTCCCAATTGAGAGGCAACATTATCAATAGCTGTAGAAGTGGGCATACTTCGAGCAAAACCTTTGACACCATTTTGAGAGAAATATGGTATGCATTTCAAATGGTGGGCCAAAACTCACTAGGTGTTACAAATACAGTCCACGACCAATAATCATATTACGATCTCCATCCCATCAAATGCTGCACCGATATGGCAATTTTCATTGCCTACTCTATCCACAAGAGTCTTTGCATAAGTTAAATTGGGATCTGGGTGAATGTTACCAAAATCTGGAAGAGGTTTCATTCTTGTGATACTGCTTTTATCACATTTTAATTCTTGAACAAATATTCTTTCTACGTAAGGGCCAGTAACACCGTTCATGGAATCAATCAACAATTTCAAAGGACTTCCATCAAAACCATTGGCAATGAAACTTTGAATGCAATGGAAATCAAATATAGTTTTCATTAAATTTATATAGTCTTCCAACGGGTCGATTACTGAAATAGAAAAACTCTTGTGACCTTCAATATTGTAAGAAATAATTTCCAATAATGTCAATATTACATTGCAAATTATTACAAATTTGTAATCAGATAGAATTTTTGACAACTCAAAAATATCTGCAGTTAAATTATCTGGTGCGCGGGCCACCATTTTCACAATTGAATTTTATTCCAAAGTCATTTCTACACCACCTGGATTGTGAGAAGCAGTTTAAAATGATTCCTCCGAGTGTTTATGTAGTCGTATGAGATTTGAAGCAGCAGGTGTAGATAAAATGCCATCATTTTGACCCACAATTAATTTGGAAACTTATTTGCAGCGCAAAATTTGAATAATAATTTGAATGGCTTCTTTCATATAGTACCTGCCATCTCCACCAATAATTAACGTGCAGCCATCAACGCGATTCCCAAAGAGCATTTAAAATGCTTTGAACAAAATTAATGGTTGTAATATTTTGCTGTTTGCAGAAACACACTGTTCACACTTATTTTCTCAAACCACTCGTACCCGGTTTTTGGTCAAAATAAGGAGTGGTAGGTATCTCTCGATATGATAGGACATTTTATTTGAAATTGTAACCAAAGTGGTTTGCGCTGGAACAATGTAATGAAGGTGAACTAAAGGTGTCAAAAGCGTTCGCGGTTATCGTCAGTTATCATTAAATGACAGCCGAAAATAGATTTCGTTATTTTTATCAAAAAACAATAAATATCGACGACGAATTCAACGGAAATTATTCAAAACTAAAATAGAAAAATGTATGCGCAAGAATCCAAAGTGCTTACCTGTGGCTGTCACAATCCTCAACACACTGACACATGCATCGGATATCGGATGTAGTTGGATTTTTATAGTTCACTATTTTTGACATTTATCTTCGTACATAATTTCTATTTACAAACTTTTATATCATAGTGAATGTATTCTGTAATGTTAATTTAGTTAAAATACTCTACCACATTTGTTCTGAAAATGAAGGAATCAGATGATATGTCAAGTAAATGTTTAATATGTAACAAGAATTCTTGTAATGATCTTCATGATATTTTGATACAAGGTCAAAATATTCCAATACTTGTTTATATGTTTTTATTGAAAGATTTACAAAGCTCAATTTAAGAGATTTAGGTAAATCAGAAATTTGTGATATATGTATTAAAGAGGTTAAACAGCTTTGATTCAGCAGAGCT